AAAGACTTTTGACAAATCAAAAAGGCCATTTTGATGCAATTTCAATTTTAATTTCAATTTCATTTATTTCCACAGATTCATAAAAAGACTATAATTACAATCAAATATAAAAGCATTAAAACAAAAGATGAACCTGCAGAGGGGGTGATAAAAAACACAGAGACCTGTTTAAACTTTGACATACAGTAAAGAATGAAGTGATGAGCAACTGACTATATCATTTGGAAGTTCCTTTTTTAAAAGGAAATTCCTTATTGTATATTGTACATGAATATCCCACTGACCCCCTGTATTGGATGTTCTCAAAAATTCAATTTCTGCTGGTGGTACATGTAGATATGAATATATGGTATTTGCATCTTTATGAGGTTGTATCCTTCTGTCAACCGCAAATCACTTTCCCCCTCCGCAGCTTCTGTTTGCCACTAGATTGTCTAATTAATTGCTTTGTGTGCGCACCATGCATACATCAATAGAAACAAATCAATTTCATTATTCCACTGTCATTTATAATATTACTATGAACTTAATGGCAAGCTTCATAATAGCCTGCAATTTGAGACTTTTTGTTGATGGTGGTGCTGCAGTGGTGTAGTCTGTAGATGGTAATATTAGAGTAATGATCACCATTTCATCAAAGATTTAAGGGTGCATGTTTATGTCTGTGTATTTAGTTTGGATATCTTTTTAACTGCTGTACATGTAATGTCTGTTTTATTAATTGACAAATAAAAAAAGGTAAGAGTTTAATGTTCACACTTATCTTCAAAATTGTTAGAATTAAGTATTTAATACACCAGTTTACAGTTGTATCAGTGCGCATGAGCAGACAGAGGTCAGAGGTTATTGGCCCCAAAATTGGGGCCAATAACCTCTGACCTCTGGTATTTATGCGTAAATTAAGATTGCGCCCATGCAAATGATGATATGCGCGCACAACGCAGCGCGCAGGCAGTGATATCATCATAATTTGCATGGGCGCAATCTTAATTTACGCATAAATACATGACCTCTAGGTCATTGGCTTTGTTTAAAATGGCGCACACAACTGTAAACTGGTGTATTGCCCCCTTTCAATCTCTTACTCTTAGGCCCCCATGTACACATGTACTGTAGGTGTGACCCAACCCAATATCACATCTTATCACGATGAATGCACGTGTACCCTCTCCAGATTGCATAGATACAGAGGTGTACATTTACCTCTGAAAGTCCCTCTCCCGCTACCACTCAAAGTCCAATCTCTGAGGTTCTTATGGAAGATGCATATTCTGACCCAATACTACATAATAATAATAATAATAGTGGGTTCTTGTATGGAGCTCATGTACTGGATTGACTCTTAAATAGAGCATACTGTAGATCCCCCCCCCCCTCCATCCAGCACCCATATCAAAATGTAACCAGAGACTTGGACTGCACACGTTACCCCATGTTTTGGTATGGATCCCAGGAAGTGTTTGTAGGCCCCTGTGTAGAATCCATCAGCAGTGTACTGAGGGAGGGGTGCCCCAGCATCCATCCAACACTGCTGTGAGCATCCCCAACATCCCACACTGTGCTACGAGCATCACAGTACGTACCCCTTCCATCTCCCTCTCCAGCCTGAAGAAGCTACCCCCTTATTGCATTATTACACGTTCAGTCTCAACCTACGCACTCTAGAAGCTCTGCCTGACTGTGCAACACACATTAGTACCTCCTAATGCTATTAGCTGCGTCTACCAGCAACTGTTTGTGGCAAGACATTGGTTTGTTTTCTTCACCGGATTACAAGCATATGGGAAGCTCTAACCAGGGCTGCTTTCACACTTCTAGCATTCACTGTATAACTATATGAGTCTTGTATTGCCATACGATAAAGTAATTAAATATTTCTTTCTGAACATCACATAAAGAAACATATTTTAAAACATCTTTTTGGATCGTTCTTATAATAATAATAATAATAATGATAATAATAGGCATTTTTATAGCGCCGTCCATCTAGACAATTCTATTCCTAGACGGATAAATTAATTATTAGCCCGTCTTTAGCCTAGCTGCCATTACAGGAATTAATTCCTGCCAGGTACCCATTTACCTCACCTGGGTCGAGTGTGGCAAATGTAGATTAATGCCTTGCCATAGGACATTAGTGCCATATCAGGAATTGAACCAGGGCCTTTGAATTTCACTCGACTTCCACACTTATAAACAACAACTTGATAAAGAATCAGGGTCTCGCTCTGTGTGAACGTTGTGTCTTAGCGATGCTTATCCAGAGCACACACTTAGGATTGGCGAGCTAAAATGTCAACTGACCTCGACAAATTAATTTCTTTACACAACGTTTCTTAGTATGTTTCTTTATATAATGTTTCTTTATATGTTTTTGTATACAACGTTGCTATAAATGATGCTGTCTTCTAGTCTGTATGCTCCTTTCTTAATTTTCTGTATACAATAATTCTTTATATGTTTCTTTATACGAGTTTTCTTGTAGTCTGAAAAGATCTTATTACTCCTGGTTATTAGAGCCAGCACAGACGTTGGAGGGTGTTAATTGATCTTGGAGGTTGCGCCATACCGAACTATGCTTGGGGGGTGATGCAGAACCTTCTCTAGTCCATACCTCAGATGCCCTGGCTCCCAGTCATGCGTGTAATGCAGTCAATATAGCTTGGTTGTTGTGATATGTTAAAGTAGAGGGAGGGAAAGAGGGAGGGAGGGGGGGGGGGGGGGGGGAAGAAGCAGATAAGGAGGATGATACATAAAGCAGGGAGTGTCAGAGAGAGAGAGAGATCGAGTGAGAGAAAGACAGATAAAGTGAAAGAAAGAGAGAGAGAGAGAGAGAGAGAGAGAGAGAGAGAGAGAAAAAAAGACAGACAGACAGTAAAATAGAGAAGATGAGAGAAAAGGGGAGATGAAGAAAGAGGATGGGTACAAGAAAGAAGTGAGATGTGCATGTACCTGTATGACCTTTCCTACAACTTGTGAATTGTAGTTTGAGCACGTTATGAAGGCTACGGTTGATCAGTTTTGTTCAGTTGTAGATTAATGCATTTTCACATTCGAGTGCTCCAAACATTAAAAATGTATCATTAGTGTAGGGCCGTAGGCAGAGATCTAATTTACTGTAAATAAAGCTATGTCTATGTTTTTTGAGATTGAGATTGAGATAAAAAAGGTTTTATTAATTGCACTTCGCAGCCAGATAGCTGAATTATGAACATATTACATTGGCAATAATACTCAGATATCTGTAGATGCACATACTCAGATATCTGTAGGTGCACATACTCAGATAATATCTGTAGGTGCACATACTCAGATAATATCTGTAGGTGCATATACTCAGATACATGTAATATCTGTAGGTGCACATACATTTACATTTTCTTATCAAGAGAGTTTGTCAATACAGGTTCATGTCATGGATTCAAGCCTCCTGACAGTCCAGACAGTCCTGACTAGCCTTAGGAGTCATCTGAAATAAATGTTCAAATAACTGTCTTTTACTAGGCTTTAGCTGGGGAGAAATTAAGCTCTTCATGAAAAGTGCAGAATTAGGAGAGTCTGTACATTTTATTGGCCGCTGGCGCAAAGTCAGGATATTTGGAGTCGTAACTGATCCGATGCTCGGAATCAAAATTGCCAATTTCATCCCAATCAGCTAATTGGAGTGAGACAATGAAGGTCAACAAACTGTTGTGAAAAGGTTCATAACGTGTACTTGTCCAGTCTTTTAGATTTCACCCAAGGTGTTTTCACTCCTCTTCCAAACTACAGCCCTACATGTACCTACGGTATAGGAAAAGGAATGCCAATACAGATTATGTCTAGGAAAATTATCATATTTGATATTCATATTTGATATGGATGTTTACTGTAATTAGTTTCAATGCAATCTCAATCAAAATTGAAACTTTATCAATTGATACATTTATATTTTTTGGTTAGATGAGTGATTGACCGAATGAAAATAGAATTTTGCTGAGTTATGTTATCAATAAATACTTGGTACAATTGGTGAATACTTGGCCTCCCACATTTATAGCATACCATCAGTTTGGAGCAATTAAGACCGACGTTACTTGTATCTAATTCACGGTTACTTTAACACAGAGTTAACACCCTTCTGGCTCTCAACAGACAATTCTATAGTTAGCCCAAAATGGTGGGCATGTACAGTTAAAAAGTAAATTATTCATACCCCTTGTAAATTTGAACTGAATACTTTTAATAGATGTTAACTTTAATATGTCATATTCTTAAGAAACATAAATCAGGAAAATCAATTTTTCACATGCTTGAAGAATAACAAAACTTGTTAAGGGTATGAATGATAAACTGTATATACATGAATAAATGTATAAATGTTAGCCATGCCTTGTAGGCATGCCTTGCACTTGCAGCCACAGTGAAGTATTCTGTATTCTACAAGATTGAAGGCAGCTTGAGATTCTAAACCTTCCCAATTCAAACTACATTAACCTTAATGAGGCAAAGCCGGGCTCCTAAACCATGGAAAGGTCTGCATTAAATCGAATAGGATGCTTACTGAAAGTGGATGCCTTTAAGAACTAAATTATTGTTGTGCTGAAGTAAGAATGCAATTTATATCCTTTCATTGTGCATTTAGAATGAATGTTAGCTAGAGAGACTGTGACCCTGTGATATTTAAACTTCACCTTACATACACTCTACATACATACATGTACTGTAAAAAGAAGGAACTGTAATGAAATGAAATTTTTAAGAATTGTAAGCAACAATAAACAAAAATTACGCAAAGAAACTTTCACAAATTAATTCGGTGTTGTGTCAATTGTATTTCAGTTATTTCACAGAATTCACAAATTTGAGCCACTTGTGAAATTCACAAATATTGCATCCACACAAAATGTTCTGGCTGTACAGTCTGGGACTATATAATAACTGTCCTTTTTTAACTGAAGGTCTTACATATTTTGTTCTTGAAAGAAACAAAATTAAAGTTATATTTTCCATTTTTTTCTTCCTTATCCTAGGGGTCCATTCAGTGAAGTACGACGATGTATTCATCGAGACACGGGTCAGCAGTTTGCGGTCAAGATAGTGGACGTGGCCAAATTTACATCTAGCCCAGGACTCAGCACAGAAGGTAATTAATGATGATGGTGGTGATGATGATGATGATGATGACGACGACTGCAACGATAGGGATGATTAAGATATTGATGACGATGAAGATGATTAAGATATGGATAATGATGATGAAGATGATGATGATGATGATGATGATGATGATGAAGACGATGAAGATGATGATGATGATGATGATGATGATGATGATGATGAAGACGATGATGATGGTGATGATGATGATGATGGTGATGATGATGATGATGATGATGATGATGACGATGATGAAGTCGATGAAGATGATGATGATGATGATGATGATGATGATGACGATGACAACGACAACGACAACTACGATGATGATGACGACAATGATGACGATGCATGTACATCACCCTTTCTATCACTAATTTAACATTCAAGTTATGTCAGAGGAACCACTTTATTTACAGAAATATACAAAGTAGCTATTTAAAGATATTTTTTTACCATAGTTAAATTCTCAGAAACTTGACAATGCCCTTTGCAAAGAAGTCAGTCAAACTACAGCCATAGCCTATAGAGCATAATTTGTTTAAATGTCACCGCATTTTACATAAGTGATTAGTTTTATTTTCTAAATTCTGAGATAATTTCGTAAAAAATGACCAGAGGCAAAACATCCATTACCAAATTTTGGAGATGGACAATGGTTGGCTTGATCTTGATAATTTCATATATTTCTCACTTGCTTCAGTCTCAGAGGAGCAGTCTAACCTTCTAGCTTTCGGCAATTTTAATGCGCAGTTGCATTCCCAGGCCTACTATATACTTCACAGTTATCACCATACCAATTCATCTACATGTACATTTGTAGGATGGCTTCTTTATATTGTCATCTTACGAGCACTGGTGATGATGCTCAAAATATTTAAATAGGAAGTCCACTCAGGTAATTAAGTTGATTGTTATTCATTCACCAGTACTTTTTGATCTAACCAATGTAATTTCAAGTTTTAAAAGCGGTAGATCGCTCACTTCTCCCATATATGTCTTCTCGTTGAGTGTAAGGCAATGCCTCACAATTCTCGTTTCAAATCAGAAAACTGCTGGGCAGGGAGACTAATGGGTAACCCAGAAAAATCAGCTATCTTTTGATCAGCTGGTTCGTAGCAAATTGTGAGGAGCCCTCGTTGCTGGACATCTATTATCTCTCATGGCTCTAGAGGAAGGGTAGCACGACTATATACAGAGATAGATAGATTGAACAGAAAGATATATTACACTGGGATATATTGTCTGTTTAGAGCCATAAGGGTGTTAGGTAGGCCTAGTGTTAGGCCACATCATTTTGGCCTTCAGGCTCCTATTGGTTGAATTATATGAGAGGAAGTAAACAGATATAACTTGAGCTATCGTGGTATTTAAATCATAGTTGTGGTACTGCTACCACCATATATAGGAAATTGAAGATTATTATTTTTGCAGTTGGAAACAATATAAGTCCCTTAGAATAGTTTGCTGTTGCTATTGTTTACAAGATGCTCGGCTTGCTCGTCTGTAAAGGATTACAATGTCTTTTGCTGCTCAATACATCATTATCGGCTGTGAATGGAATTATTTAATTCCATCTGAAAATGCTCAGTCATCATTAGTCATATGTATCATCCATGGTAACAACAAAATAATTTTGCAGTCAGTGAATGAAAAATTCTTGCAAAGAATAGAACCATTAGCTTAATTATCAAAGTCAATACAATATACACTGCATGGAATCTATTTTGATATTAAATCATTGCCATTACTGATGACTATGAAAAGCAGGGAGATTGCCTTTACACTCATAACGATTCAAAATGTTGCAAGCCTCTATAGATTTAAAGATAAAGTTGAGTTCTGGTCATGTGATGGCAATGTGAAAGAAACGGTGTGGAATCTATCAGAAAAGGTTGATCATTTAGTATATAAGTATTTGTGTGTATTGCAAGGTTCTGGAATCATCAAAATGATGAGAAATTTGGCCAAATCTTGGCAAAGTAACAAGCACTGTACACAGAATGATGTATATGGGACTACACGAGCACATGGTGAAAAAACCTACCCCCCCCCCGATTTTTACGATGTTTCATGTCATATTTAGAATATGAAGGCATTTGAAGAGCCATGCTTCCCAGGGAACCTGTTTAATCTGATGTTCTTCCACCCAGGTTGCATAATAACAATGATAACGCTTTTAAACTTCAAGCCAGGGGGGGGGGGGGGGGAAGCATTTATTGTAGATCCTTGAAATATAATTGCATCCACTTGACTTTGATTTGGCCTGTTTTCATCAGCTCGTATTTGCTAAATAACCCGCTATTTTCAGACTCTGGATATTATCCCAAAGCTCGAAATCGCATCTTCACCAAACCGTTATTCTCATCACAAACTAGCTCGGAATAAACTTCAGTTGTGTAAACCTGCACAGGCCCTAACTACAAGATAACTTCGAAGTTTAAAACCGATTCCTAAACTTAACAGACTGTTGTGTGGACCAAACTAATGGCTAGTCAGAAATAATGACCCTCTAAAAGCGGAGGCTGATAGAAAATGTTGATGGACATAACAGAGATGGTTCTTAACGCCTCATTACCCCTTGTATAGGTATAGGAGCATCTCTATACCCTTTCACACCAAAGCTTGTGTCAACTCTATACCTCATGCGCATCTGTATGCCCCATTCACATTGATCGGGTCGTATTAACTCCGGTTTAGATTAGGTATAATGGATCCACCTGAAAAATTGCATTTTAAGAGGTTTATTATTAATAAGAGGTAATAATGTGTGTATTATAAGGGTTTTTAATCACATCATAATAACTAAATCTTGCTTACAAGGACAAAAAATAACAAGCACTGAACAAAACATCATGAAAGGGGTATGTACACGAAGATGGCACCAAAATTTGGTCTGAGGATTATTCAACATCTTGGAGTGAATGAAGTCACTTTGAAAATTAAAGATTTCATGAGTGTCCTTTGCACTTGGTATTGCTATTATAAATTTGATGTTTTTCCCTCCACCCAAGACTGAAAGAAAAGAGAAAGCTTACAATTATAATTACTCAACATTCTCTGTAATTTTTGCTCTTGATTTGAAGACAAGTCAAGAAATTCTTATCGAATCATTATGATACCACTAATTATTCATCCAGTAAATGCTATATATGGATCATAATGGATGTGAACAGAATAATGTAGATCAAGAGTTGGTTTTGAAGGACACGAACAGTGAATAAATAACCATACCAATCAAGAGTTCAGAGTCCATTAATTATCAAACCAATGCTAATTGCACCCAGTTATAATCAATTCATGTGAACGGGTTCAGAGCAGGTAATGATTTTTATGTGAACGGGTTTAGAGCAGGTAATGGTTTTCATGTGAACGGGTTTAGAGCAGGTAATGATTTTCATGTGAACGGGTTAGAGCAGGTAATGATTTTCATGTGAACGGGTTTAGAGCAGGTAATGATTTTCATGTGAACGGGTTAGAGCAGGTAATGATTTTCATGTGAACAGGTTTAGAGCAGATAATGATTTTCATGTGAACAGGTTTAGAGCAGGTAATGATTTCCATGTGAAATGGATGTGGATGATTTATAGACCAATCTCACCCAACCTACCATACTGTCACACCAAATTAACGAGTGAAGGAAACCAGCTAGCCTAGAGCTCAACAAAGAAATAGCCATACTTAAAACCTTTGTCTCCTCTCCCTTAAAGCGATTGAAGTCGCCATATTTACTGCAGTCATATCGGATGAAATCTTGGAAGAATACAGAATCAGTTATTATTGCATGATATTATTTTTATCTAAATATAACAAATAATAACAAACTAGCTAGAGCTCAAGAAAAAAAATAGCCATACTTAAAGCCCCACTGTCCTACTTGTAGCTACTCGCTCCCTCTATATAGAAAACTTCCCCAATCGGTGCTTGTTGGTCCGCCATGATCCTCTTTTTCTTATGTTAATTGAGAGCTGAGTTAATGAGATAGCCACCCGTCGGTGACCTCGCTGTGTGGTCTAATCCCTTCTGGCCCAGTAGTATTGACGGTCTTTAAAACCTTATGTCTCCTCTCCCTTAAAACGATTGAAGTCGCCATATTTACTGCAGTCATATCGGATGAAATCTTGTTGAAGGAAGAAGAAGAATACAGAATCAGTTATTATTGCATAATATTATTTTTTATCTAAATATAACAAATAATGCGATAGACAATTAGAAATAACAAATGAGGAACTTTCTATGCAGTAGTTTGAATCCAATTTCAGAGTTGTTGGAAGTTTTTTCTTCAACTGTAAGTAATTATATAATACTGTGTATTCGTATATGAAAATTTAAAATACTTTAAAAATTGTCCTGCAGATTATTGTTATACGCATGGCAAAAAGATGAGAACATGACTTTTTGTAAAAATCACACAATTTGATGATTTCTGAATTCAAGGATAATGTAGAGAAGTTATAATCTATCTTGACCATGGGCTTTAATGTGTTGTATAGATGTAGTGAAAGAAAAGGCCCCATCTGACAGTGCTTGACCACACCCTTCTACTGTCACGAGATGAAGTACAGTATAAGTATAAAGCTTTTTGTATGCTGCGACCTTGAGCACATAAGTGAAAAAGTGAAGCATAATCCAGAGTTCTATGACCTTGAAGTGCACACAAGTGAGTGCATGAAGTTATATTGAAGTCTGACTCACACTCTAGATATCTAAAGCTGATGTGAAAGTAGGTTATTATGGGGCAAGGCAGTAGTCTCTACACAAGGCTTGTACACAAACTCACCAAGAATTTCTGATATTTTATCAGCATGTCTATTACTGAAGAATACCTTAATTTTATTTCAAAGAGAAGGAAAAAAAGGCAATTCAGAAATATTTTAAAAATAGATGTATTTCTATTTTGCACAAGATGAAAGAAGGGACAAATCTCTCTATTAAAGTTTTCAAACTTACAATGCTTGATACAACAAACAACTTCGCTATTGATTT